AATGACAGGCAAACGTCTCGAGAGTGAGATAGTGCGAATTGCGTTCAGCAGTTGTTATTATTGCTCTTATTTACCGAAATGTAACCAAGTGTGGGGAGCTTCTTTTACTTTGAGTCGAGTCGTGGGTTGACATCGGTAGGTATTTATGAAATTGAAGCCAACAAGGTTAATCTCTGCATGTAAATAGTGGTCGGTATATTATTCATTCATAATTATATTTTTTTTAATTATTGCGATCATTCATGCTGTAATCTATCAGTAACATTAAACGTAATGGAAATTGTAGTGAGGCTCCAGAGACCCAGAAACTAGGGCAGACAAATTATTTGATATTTTGATAGATAGAATAAAAATAAAATTCATTTGATAGATATTTTCATCTCGTTCGTGGTTTGAATTCTCTAATTTTAAATGGTATGCTGCATCGGTAAAGCAGAAATTGACATTGCTGTAATAAAATATTCTTCAAATACTAAATTTTAACTATTGAATCACCGAAACTCATTGCAAACGTTCTTCTTATTCGAAACGAATCTATTTTTAAATTTTCACCCTAATAGAAATATGAAAGTTCTCAAAATTAGTGGCATTAAAATGATAAAGCGTATTTTGATTTTGACGTATGATTCCTCTAACAATTTTCGCAGACATAATTTTCATATAAGAGAAAGATATTTGTGAAATGTTAGCTATATCCAACGTGACGTGTTTTTGAAATAAATACTATAATGCAATATCATTTAATATATATGTATTCTTTATTTATTCTGCATATTTCATTCATAGTAATCAAATATGCATAGTCTTGTAAAGTTACTTGGTCATTTTAAATTGTATAATATAAATTGTGAATGAACAAATTAAATGTTATATTAATATATACGGAACAAAGTGTACAAAATTAAATGTTACAATAATATTAATATGTAAAAATAACAAATGTAAGCTTATAGAAACCGTTAGAGTTCGTTGCATGACTACATTCGCAACGAGTTGCATGGCGATATTATCAAAAATCAGTTTCATTTTTACAACCTGTAATTAAGAACGATGAATCAAAATTGGAATTAATGACTTCTGCGATTAAATATATATGGTAATGGCTACATAATGATTGGAGTTACTTGAAGAATGAATAAGTGAATTTATGAGTTATCGATGGTATCTTAAATCATATAAAACGTGTTAAAGTATTGCAAGATTAATCAGTGCCTTTTATTGAAGAATTAGAACGTATTATTTTTTTCAAGTTGACGATGTTTCTTTAATCACTTTACCTCCTTGAATGTTGATTACGGATTTTTTTTCATTATATTTCCACATTTTATTTTTGTTTTGTTCCTAAAAATGTTATTATGACATTATTAGACAACAATTCTGTACCCTAATTTGAAGTTGTGTATATGTATAAGATTTGTTTCGTTTTATCGAGACATGGTGTCGTATCGTAGAAGATATGAGGGTTGTCAGAAAAATATTTGTATAGAAAATGGTTGATATAATGTGGAAAATAATCGTATATATCTCTATCTTCTAATACATGTTATACAAAGTAAATCTTGTAACCTTCAAATGAATGAATATCGAAGAAAATTTAAAGAACAAAAACTACATGATTTTCAGAGACACGTACGAAACTGTTATCAATTACTTATCATTGATAGTTCTTTCCTCAAGATATAATGATTACCATCAGTTTTTAAATGGAGTACCTAATATTTGTTCCTTTTTGATGAAGCATGAAATTCAGCATAAAAAAAGTATCAGGAGATAGGATGTGTAATTGTTATATATTTTCAATTAATAATCGTATATTCGAAAACAAATTCAGTCAAGATGACTATTGCAACTCTGTTTATGACGACAGTTTGTATTTTTAAACACAGCTTTTGTTAGATTTCAGATGTTGTTAATCGTAAACACCGTAGTATCTCATTGTTAGCTCACTTTACGTGACTCAGAAACAGTGAAAACAATATCGTAAAAGTTATTATGTGCGATATTGTATGCTGCTTTTATTGGCATGTTGGGTAACACTGAAAAATACGATATGATAATCGTTCATGGTGCATGCAATGAAAATACCGCGGAAGCTAAAATATGTAAAAGTAAATATCCTCTATCGACATTAGCCGTTTCACCCGGTACTTTTAAGACTCCATAAAATGCTAAAGAAACATTCTTTCAATGTACAAAAACGCAAATGTAGTAAAATTCCCAAGTACGAATACTCCATTTTTGTTGTAGCTTGTGTTGTTCATAATCCACATGTCAGTGTTCGATAAATTTCACGTAGAGAGAATACTAGAGCCATGTTGTGTATATTCTTCGTTCTCAGAAACTTCATCCATATCACCCATCATAAATTACATGATACTTTTAAAAACGTACAAATTTATGAATAGTTGCATCAGATACAAAACACGAATGGCACGTTCGTACAATTATTCTGTAAATTGTCGGAGCAATATTTACAAACGAAGAAATAAATTTAAAAAATGTGCACTAGTGCGCAACAACGTATCCGCGTTAGCTTTGAGAAATCGACCAACACCGGTGGAGTATCAGTGTTTGGTTGCCATAATTGGTCAGTAGATCATTTGGATCGTATTTCATTAATGAATCAAACATATTTCACTCTTCTGTACGGAGTATTAACCGGTCTCTTCAAAGATGTACCGTCTCTAATACGTTTAAGAATGTGGTACCAACATGATGGCTGCGTTGCACACAATGCTTGACATGCACAGCAGGTGTTATACAGAATGTTTCCCACTCACTGGATCGAATGTGGAAGCACTGTTTGATCAACCCGTTCGCCAAATTTAACATCGTTTGATTATTTCCTTCGGGAAGTACTAAAAATTAAAGTTCATCGCGAGCTAATGCCACTTGAAAATTTGCGGGAACGAGTTATTTATACCATTGCCGCAATAATTATAAAAATACTTGAAAGAGTTCATCGTTCATTCGTGATCAGATTGAGAAAGTGTATTGATAGTGATGGACTAGATCGATCATCGCTTGAACTATTTTGATAATATCTTAAGTATTAATTTTAAACGCTATCTAATGCCTTTCATGCAAAATTTAATGCTTCACCTACATTCAAAAAGTAATTTAGGCATTCCATTTTAAAAACTGAAAAGGATCATATCTCAATAAAAAAGCGGGCTAGCAAAGTAATGGCAGTACCATATCTACCCCTGAGAACCCTGCAACATAAAATTTATTGCAGTGATCTCCGAGTTATTTGAAGTCGTCACGTTGCAAGATGCTCTATATATTAAATATTTTCAGAGATACAATTTGTTGCTGCAAAATACATTTCAAAGTGATCCACATGCCGTGACAGAATGTGCAGTGTGATCCAAAAGTGTTATTTTTAGTTCTCTCAACACGTGTTAATATTCGTATCTAGCGGTAAGAGGATCGTACGTTGTATGATACAAGATCTAAAGAAGTGAAAAATAATTCTAATGCAGTAGATTTTCAACGAATCATAAGTTAATGTCGAGGATGAAAATATTACGGTCGAGCTTGTTCCGTTAACTTGTACGAGAGCTATTAACATCTAGCTTGAACCCATAATGCTATAATAGCCTGTGTTGCAATTCACGGCATTAATATCTGTCGGCGTCGCGCCATTAGCTGAAGCAACCGTAAACGCCGGGCTGGTTGCACGAATGTTGCATTTTAATTACGACGAACATCTGTTCGATGGACGTATCAGCCGCGAGAAATATCATTCTTCTATTCGCTAATTACACCGACTGAATGATCACGACTACTTGCAAGCTAAAATGTTCGGTATTATTCAATTCTTTCGTTCGTTCCCTCCACTAATCACTTTCTTGCGGAACCAGTTATTAATTGGTCACATTTGTATAGGCTCATGTTATAAACGAGAAACAATGTTACAATTATCAAAGCATTTCAAATATATGTAAGATACCGGTTGAATATTTATTAAATCTACGATACTAATCCTTCGTTGCATTTTTGTTGGAAACTTACCGCATAAAATAATATTGGGAAGACTTGAACATTCTCCTTTAGGCAGATTGAAAAGTTCCACTATTTCCAATTTTGTATATTCTCAAATTCTAAAGTTTCTAAATTTCTAAACCCTCAAATTTTTAGATTCTCCAATACTTAAACTCTCAAATTTCTGAATCCAAAAATCTCTAGATTATGAAATCGTTAAATCTCCAAAACCATAGATTCTCAACTCTCTAGATCCATAAATTAGTAGATTCAAACCTCTAGAGTCATAAATCCTTAGATGATCCAATCCTTAAACCCCTAAATCCTCGGGTTATGAAATCGTTAAATCCTCAAATGTATAGATCGCCATATCTCTAGATTTCTATAGCTTTAGAGCCATAAATCCCTAAACTCTCCAATCCTTAGACTCCCAAATCCATAAATTACAAAATATTCAGATGCCACATTTTTAGTTTTTCAAATCTCTACATTCTCAAATTTCTTAATTCTCCAATTCTGCTAAAAATGCACGAGTGGTAGACCTATTCAGCCCTAGTTATGATATTTTTCATAGGAAAGCCAAATTGATTGTTGAGTGTACAGTATTGGTCAACATACAGCATGAGTACCATTTGCTACGTTTCTTTCAAAGCAAAACACTTATTTTGTTACGTTGTCGCAAATGACTGAAAAATTGTGTGTGAGAGTGTGTTTACAAAATGCATATGAAGTAGTGTTGTTGCATTTTATCGAACGGCTGCAGTACAGGTATAATTCTTAACAATTAAGGTATGTCCCCCTAAACCTTGAAACTTTTGTATAAAAAATGTTTCCTTCCAACCTCACAAGTTCAGTGTGCAAATCGCGTGAACCCTGTATATATAGAAAATAGTTGTCGAATGACGACTGTGTCAACATATTTCATTGTCACTGAAATCGTTGTACTTCTCTATTTTTACTAATTAAAATTGACGCGATTTCGAAATGTTCAACTCCGTTGTTTCTAATTTCAGTTGGATGCGAAGAAAAGCCCGCTCGCCCTACTCGCTCAGACATGCAGCCAAATAGGAACCGACACGCCATCCAATAAATCTCTGCTAGGCTCGTTGGACAAAGCATCGGGCAACAAATCTTCAAAGTCGGAACAGTCACGTGAGAAATCGTCGCCCACGGTCGCTGCGTCGTCTTTGGAATCCACCAAGACCAACTTTAAGCCGTACGAGTCGTGTCTGTCTCGAGAGAAGGCGTCCACACCGGACGAGCAGCGATCAACTTCCAGCCACTCGACGTCCGGTCGGTCGAGGACACCCGGTAGCAGTAACAAACGATGTCCTAGCAATCAGAGTGTCTCGTCGGTTAGAGCCGTAACGCCACAGGGTCGAAAAACGGCGACGCCAAACGGCGACGTGTCTCGAGAGTCGCCCGCCTCGAGGACCTCCGTTTCGGCGAATCTCTCTTCGAGTCAACTCGAATCGTCGAACTCGACGTCTCAGCCAGCCGTTGTCAGCAGTCCGTCGTTACAAACAAAGCCCTCGTACAGTCCTGCCAGTGTTTTAGCCATCACGGACCCGTCCATCAAGGATCTCCCGTTGGGTACTTTCAAGCCAGGCGTCAGCTTAGCCTCGTCGACCTCCGCTTATCTAACATACACACCGCAATTGCCCATCGACGTCATGGCCAGCACTCTGGTCTCTCAACACCACGCCGCCTTAAAGAACGGATTGATAACCGGAAATCCCTATCTGAGTTACGCCAGGTTAAAAAGTTCCTCAGGTGCCGACACTCTCATGCCCGTCTGCAGAGATCCTTACTGTACCGGCTGTCAATTGAACTCGCATCTGTTCGCGAACGGTAAATTAACGTCCAGCACGGCTACCACGCCAAGTTCCTGTCCTGCTGGCTGCGCCCAGTGCGATCATAAGCCTGCGACCGCTTACGGTGCGTTGGGTGCTGCCGCGTATGCACACGCACAGCTGGCTGCTCTGGCGGCCGCGTCGCAGCTTCCGTACGTCTGCAATTGGATCGCCGGCGACACAGCCTATTGCGGAAAGAGATTTTCCACGTCCGAAGAGCTGTTACAGCATCTGAGAAGTCACACGACAACCTCGTCCAGTGCTGCCACGGATCCTTCAGCCGCCGCGTTGTCTCTGCTGTCGCCCTCCGTCGGATTACCACCGAGCCATCCATTGTTTTCCAGGACTTACCCCACACCGCCGTTAAGTCCGTTAGCAACCGCGCGTTATCACCCTTACGGGAAATCATCTACATTATTACCACCGTCCTTGTCATCGTTGGGTCTACCGCTTCCACCGCCGCATTCGCATGCACCTGCAGGTTTACCGCCGTACTTCTCCCCGTACTCGTTGTACGGGGCTCCTCGTCTTGGCGCCGCATCCGGTTTGCCCCAATGACTCCTCTAAAACACCTATCGACAAATATCAACCGTTTAACTGTGATCCGTGTGCGAGGACAGGGAGGACGCAAGGAGGCTACATAACCTCGCTAAACTGACCTCGTAATCTTGTTAAATGAACAAATTGGTCGCTTAATTCTTGGCGCGGTCGCGCCCGACACCTTCATGCAATTCTGTGCTGTGTGGTGCTCCGATGTTTTAGAATCTCTCTTCGAGTCAACTCGAATCGTCGAACTCGACGTCTCAGCCAGCCGTTGTCAGCAGTCCGTCGTTACAAACAAAGCCCTCGTACAGTCCTGCCAGTGTTTTAGCCATCACGGACCCGTCCATCAAGGATCTCCCGTTGGGTACTTTCAAGCCAGGCGTCAGCTTAGCCTCGTCGACCTCCGCTTATCTAACATACACACCGCAATTGCCCATCGACGTCATGGCCAGCACTCTGGTCTCTCAACACCACGCCGCCTTAAAGAACGGATTGATAACCGGAAATCCCTATCTGAGTTACGCCAGGTTAAAAAGTTCCTCAGGTGCCGACACTCTCATGCCCGTCTGCAGAGATCCTTACTGTACCGGCTGTCAATTGAACTCGCATCTGTTCGCGAACGGTAAATTAACGTCCAGCACGGCTACCACGCCAAGTTCCTGTCCTGCTGGCTGCGCCCAGTGCGATCATAAGCCTGCGACCGCTTACGGTGCGTTGGGTGCTGCCGCGTATGCACACGCACAGCTGGCTGCTCTGGCGGCCGCGTCGCAGCTTCCGTACGTCTGCAATTGGATCGCCGGCGACACAGCCTATTGCGGAAAGAGATTTTCCACGTCCGAAGAGCTGTTACAGCATCTGAGAAGTCACACGACAACCTCGTCCAGTGCTGCCACGGATCCTTCAGCCGCCGCGTTGTCTCTGCTGTCGCCCTCCGTCGGATTACCACCGAGCCATCCATTGTTTTCCAGGACTTACCCCACACCGCCGTTAAGTCCGTTAGCAACCGCGCGTTATCACCCTTACGGGAAATCATCTACATTATTACCACCGTCCTTGTCATCGTTGGGTCTACCGCTTCCACCGCCGCATTCGCATGCACCTGCAGGTTTACCGCCGTACTTCTCCCCGTACTCGTTGTACGGGGCTCCTCGTCTTGGCGCCGCATCCGGTTTGCCCCAATGACTCCTCTAAAACACCTATCGACAAATATCAACCGTTTAACTGTGATCCGTGTGCGAGGACAGGGAGGACGCAAGGAGGCTACATAACCTCGCTAAACTGACCTCGTAATCTTGTTAAATGAACAAATTGGTCGCTTAATTCTTGGCGCGGTCGCGCCCGACACCTTCATGCAATTCTGTGCTGTGTGGTGCTCCGATGTTTTACCTTCTTATTTTGTTTTCCGAACGTACCGGTTATTTATTTAGCACGTGTCGAGTGTTTGGAGAAGGTTGTTGAAAGGATTGCGATCATTAGTGTACCAAACGTTTAACTGTGATTCTTGCGCGAGATGAGCAAATCTGAAAATAACGCGTGCCTGAAAGAACCATGTAATGGCTGCTGCATAGAGTTATCAACCATTGACACGCATTTAGAACGGCTCGTTTGTATCTTTGTATAGCGACCATTCGATAAGGGAGTGCGATCGAGAGATCGGAAGTCACTTAGCTGGCGTTTATTTATCGAACGGTTATGCGCATTTTTCTCGCTGTTCTCCCCGTGGTTATAGAATCGGCGAATAACTTTGGTCTTTCTAAGTTCTTGTTACTTTTAAAAATAAATATTTGTTTACTGATATTATGATCGTAACGATCATTATTTAACTATATATTTTTTTTGTATAGGAGATTTTAAGGCTACCTTCATTATCAAATAAACAACCTTCATTAGTCCTTGATGAACACCTCTAATTTAAAAAAAAATAAAAAATAAAAATGTAAGAAGATAAAAAAGTGAAAACGTAAAAAATTAAAAAATTGAAAAAATAGAAAAGTAAACATTTTTAATTCTTAAGTAATATTAGTAAGAATGTAAGAATAAAATATTTTTGATTGCACACGTTTTCAAAAAAAGTGGTATAATATTTCAAATTTGCAAAACTTTGAGAAAATACAATAAAAAGCAGCAATTTCTGAAGTGAAAAATATTTTCGATAATTTCCTGAACTCTGAGAATTACAATTTATTTGTATTTAATACAGCACAAAAATTTCGTGGTGTATTTACAACAAAACCTAATTAATGGTTAACTCTGTTTTTTAAATAAAATCAAAAGATGATAAAATAAAAATATTTTATTACATGGGTTGATTCTTCGAGACATTCTGTGTAATATAGTTATTAAGATACATGTAAAAGATCAATAACTCGTGAGATATTTTAAATTCAAAATTAAGATATTTTATGCGCGAAATTTGAAATATCTCATGAATTAATTTTTTAGTTTTACATTTTCCTAATTTTCCTAAACACAGAATGTTTCGAAGAATGCTATTATATAAGACAAAGATTTTCTTTGAAAAATTGAAGTTGATCTTGAAATCTCTGACCTTATACCTACAAACAATAATCCTATTCTGGCTCTTCTGATATTATTACATTTTCTATAAGTAAACCTTATTTATATATTTAACTGAGATGGATCAAAGTTAGTGCTGTTGCAAACATTTTACAATTATTTTCCACTATTTGAATGAAATGATATTTAAAATATTTTTTTATAATACTAAATGAGATTATAATTAAAATTATATAAATTCATGAAAATATTAAAAATACATTTATCGCACATGCAAAAATCAAAGATATACAATACAAAACGTATTCTATTTGATTTTTGAAAAAAACACGTAAGCACGTATAAGACACACGTGTGACCGGTATGGATACTTAATGTTCACTTACCGAGCGCCCGCTTATCGAATGGTTACTGTACTCTGCTTCCTATTTCGTTACAACCGCTTGCCTTTATGTTTTCGATTGCGTTTGAAAGTTTAACGCATCAGAGAGTATTCCTCGAAAAATGTATACACACTTTGATTATTATTCGACGATTTAATAAGTTTGTATAAAATGTGTATTATAGATGAATGCTCGACCGAGGCGATTCTCGAGACAGCGTTACAGAGTCGATGTTTCTGTTATAATTGTAACTTTCTCAATTTCTCGTGAATTTCGTAGCTAATTCCTAGTTATGTGACGTATCCCGGTAAAAATGAAAGTTCTACGTTTTCGTGTACAGTAGTGTCGTGATCAAAATTTTATTGAAATATAATAAATGATCGTTGTTACACCATCTTTGACACACATGAAACATAAGCCATCAGTTTGTTAAACGTATGGCAAAGTCTGGTTAAGTGTCTGCAGACTGGGACCATATGTGGACACTTAGGATATTCTGAGATCAGAAACAGAAGCAGAGAGAACAAATGTAAATGAAATAATGCAATGAAGTAATGTACTTAATGAGACTATGTTTAAATAAGCATATAATGTCTTGTTTGTAATTAAATATGGGACACAGCTCACTCTATCGGTTTTGAGAACTGATGAACTAGCAACGGACACTTAACCAAACGTTATTTAATTTAATATTTAACACTATATAATTTAATATTTAATATTCAGTCTTGAACAGCCGCGTGAAATTAGGTTAATCATATAATTCGTAATTCTTTTTTTGAAACGCGTCGATTCGACACTACTGTAGCTGAAAGATTTGTAGGATAATCAAGGTACAATCAAAGTATTTGTCGATGCACCGCGGCATATTGGAGATTTTGATAAATTTATGTTCTCTGTGGACCACTATGTGCAATTGCCACGAATAACTGAATCATTTAAATTAAATTTTAGGTCGTGTGCCGATTTGAACATTTAACTTCTCCCATGTTAAAGGTATAGAAATGCGATGGACGTAGACATTTTTGTAATAAATTTTCGGAATTTTGTTATGTTTGTTCGAAATTTTTCAGATCAACATTTTCTATATTAGCAAAATGTTCAAATATATCACGAATACTTAAACTAATTTTTAATGTCATTTTAATATTCACCTGCCCAACACTTTTTTTCATTTTCATGAAATATTGAAAGGTTATTTTGTATGAAAATAATTATTGTAAAAATTTCAACCTCCTTTTTATCGATGATTTATATTTATAATGTGTTTATATCGTTAACAAAAATTTATGCTTAAATTGATTTATGAGAGTAGCTTCGTTTCATTTGTTCTATGATATCGTCAGCATCATTAAATGAATAAATGTTACAATATTTTGAAATTGTTCTATTTTCTATTAGCGCACAGTGGATTTATATTTCATAAAACTGAAATGAACTGCCGTTGTATGCAAAACACTAATGAAAGTATGGAACTGCTTTTTGGTAAGTGCCTTTTACGTCTTTGATATTTCTTCTATTTTTGTTATTTCTTCCCATTTTACCTTCGTTCTTTTATTTTTCCTCGTGATACGAAAATATAAGGAATCTATGTTCCAGACAAAATTGAGGGATTTGGAAGTTTTTTCGGGAATTTGGAATTTTGGGAATTTCGAATTTTGGGAATTTTGGGAATTTCGGAATTTCGAAATTTGGAAATTTGGATATTTGGGAATTTGGAATTTTGGGAATTTTGGGAATTTCGGAATTTGGGAATTTCGAAATTTGGGAATTTGGGAATTTGAGAATTTAGAAATTTGGGAATTTGGAATTGTGGGAATTTGGGAATTTGGAAATTTGGGAATTTGGGAATTTGGAAATTTGGAAATTTGGGAATTTGGGAATTTGGGAATTTGGAATTTTGGGAATTTAGAAATTTGGAAATTTGGGAATTTGGGAATTTGGGAATTTGAGAATATAGAAATTTGGGAATTTGGAATTGTGGGAATTTGGGAATTTAGAAATTTGGGAATTTGGGAATTTGGAGATATAGATACCTGGAAACTTTGACATTTAGAGATTTAGATGTTTGAACCTGAGGAACGTGAATATTTAAAAGTTAGTTATTACAATTGTTAACTAATGAAAACGAAAAAATAATTAGGGGTGTATACATTTTTCTGAGACACCATACACTTTCCAGCAAACTGTCGCAAGAAAATTATTTCAAAATATAAGGATGCGTTTTTATTATAACTTTTTAAAAGAGTGTTTAAAACCTTACGTCGATATAAAATTCTTTATTTTCATTCATTTTTAATAAAATATGTTAAAGTTTGATAGTAAAACCAGATACCCCATATAACAGGAATTTAATACTGAATTTTTGTAGCAAATAAATTTTACCAGATGCTGCACATTTATATTAAATTTTAAGAAATGTCAGTAATTTGAGAATTTTTCATTGCTATCACAACCAACAAAGAATTATTGTATTAAATATTGCTTCTTTCAATCACGAGTATTTAATTATATTTTATTTTAGTGAGGTAACAATTTTGGGTAGCTGGACTAATCGCCTGAAGCCGAAATATTTAACCTCTTGGTTTATAACATCACGCTCGTGACGCACACCACGGTTCAACTCTAACAAAAATAAATCGTATTTAGCTACAACTGAGTTTCGAATTCCAGTTACAGTTTATATAATTAAAAATCGCTAAATTCAAAATGTGTCTAATGTTTCAAGAGCTTTTATTTATTTTAATGTTACAGGAGTGATTAGTTAATCCTAACTGATGCAACTGTCGAAAAAATTGTAGGTTAAGGGGTTAACGTCAGACTAATTAACCCTTTACTCTCGAACGTACGTTTGCTATTAGTAGATAGCAATTTTGAAACTCACTATTTTTCTCTATTAACCCTTTGCACTCCAAGGCATTTTTGCTGTTGGCAGATGCTAACCCTAAACAAACTTAACGAATTCTTTTGGGGTTATTTTTCTGCTATTAATGTTCACTTTCACTGTGTTTATATGTTACATATAGGTCAATCCACGCTGAATCGATCACTTTTGTACACCATCTGCGATTTTGCTCTAATCAAAATATGTTGTAGTCCATGTGAAATTAGGAGGTGTTTAAGTCATCATTTTGTCGATTTCGTCAAAATTAAGAAAAATATTTTAAAATAGTCCAATCTGTTTTCGATTTTAATATAGAAAGTTAAAATTTTAGTTCAATACTCTTTACGCATAAATAGAGAAAATACCAGGGTTTCAAAGAACCAGGTACTTATTCAGATTTTCAGTATATAAAGTGGTTAAAATTGAAGTTAAATAGGCGGGGATCGTTTAATACCCGAATGCGACCATTAAGAGTAAAATCGAGTGGTGTCACTTTTCGAGCGCAAAGGGTTAAACAAAAAACGAGTGCCGAATCATGTCGAAGAGCCAATGTTCAACTGTGATTTTTGAGTGAGAAAGGTAAACGCGTGAGTGAGATATGTTGTGCTTCCGCAGATAAGTATTCGTATGTATCGATGTCAACCCACAAGTTGGCGTGAAGAGACTGACCTAGATGTTTAGAAGAGCTGCGTATACGGTATCCCTCCATTCCCAAATTCTTACGTACCCTAATCGGTATATCCTCAAACTCCTATATTCCCAAATCTGTATATCCCCAAATATCTACATCCCCAAATCCCTCCGTTCCCAAAATCTTACATACTCAAATCGCTATATCCCCAAATTCCTACATCCCCAAATATGTATATCCCTAAATCTCTACATCCCCAAATCGGTATATCGCCAAATCAGTACATCCTCATATCGCACGTCCCCAAATCGCTGCGGCTCCAATTGGTCAGAATAGAAAAATGGACGCCTCTCACGTATTTTCGGCGGTATATTGACTCGAGAGGTCACACACAATATAGGCCAAAAACAATGACAGGCAAACGTCTCGAGAGTGAGATAGTGCAAATTGCGTTCAACAGTTGTCATTATTATTCTTATTTACCGAAATATAACGAAGTGTGGGGAGCGTCTTTTATTTTGGGTCACGCGCCAACTCGTGGGTTGACATCTGTACGTGTATGCGT